CTTGTTGATTCAGATTTCCGAGGTTTGGTGTCATGTGATGGGAGGCACCGGTGTCTAGTATCCAAGTATCAGCATCAAAAATTCCTTGTGCATGTTGTCGAAATTTAGCTGCAGAGACCTGTGTTGGAGCTTGAGCTAAATAAGTAGTGAGAGAATGAGGTGAAAGTGCACCTTGATAAGAATAGTTATTCCTATGTAATGTGGCCCTTTTTCCCACATATGTGACAAATTGTAACCTAATAGCCATTATATGATGAACCATTATCACTTCTATTTAAGCAATTTGGAGCCATATGACCCCTGCGAGAACAAATCTGACATTCAACCAACTTTGAAATTTGTATTACCATTCCAAGAAGTTTTATTTCCAGTATTGGAGTAGCCATTATAGTTGTTTCCCCTTCTCTGTCTATTTCCATTGTAATAAGGCATTGAATTATTGAAAGAACCATAACCATTCTTATTGTAGAACTGGGAAAAATTATACCCATTTCTGTTCTGAAACCTATTATTCCCTTGATACCCCTGATTATCACCAGATCTTGATCCTGCATTTGAGCTTTCTCCTTGTGAATACCTTGCATTCTGATTACCACCTTTTGAATGATCTCCTTGAACATACATTGCAGCTATTCCACTTGCCAAAGTAGTGATTCTTGCTTCTATAGCAGATTCAACACCAATCAACTGTGCTCTAAAATCTTTCAGAGGCATAGAAGTGTCTCTTGCTAAAACAACAGTCTTAACCATATCAAACTCAGGTGGTAATCCAGATAGGGTAGTTATAACCAAATCATTATCAGTAACTTTCTCCCCTGCAGACAAAAGTTAATCACAAATAGCATTTAACTTGAGCAAATACTTGTCAATAGAGTCACTTCCCATTTGAGTTGATTGATTCTAGCCCTTGACACATAAGCATATTTGTCTTGTAAATTTGTCCAAGCCTCATTTGATGTCTTACACCCTATTAAATATTTAATAACATCATTTGATAGAGTAGCAATCAACAAACTCAAAGTGTCATATACTTCTTAACCAAAGATTTATAAGCCTTTGTTATTTCTTTAGTCACTCCAGCCTTAGTATTAATCACAAACTTTGGTGGGCAAGGAGATTCACCACTAAAGAACTCCAAGAAATCATACCCTCTTAAAACTGACTGAAACTGATAATTCTACTTAACAAAATTGTCATCTTGCAACTTCACAGTTAACATGCCAAGCAAACTTTCAATGTGTACTGATTTATCAAACATCTTGATGACTTAATTCCTTTCACAACAAACACCAATCTTCAACAATTGATCACAATTTACACCAATCTGTCAAGAAATTTAGAATTCGCAAATCACAGCATAACAACATTCAACTTCAATTACTAATCCTTTTAACTGCAACAATTATCAACTTCTCAAGACAACAAGCTCATATATTTGGCATCGGCCTTCTTTATTTACACACTACAAATGCATATATGTCAATAATTGCACAAATCTTTTACTCCAGTCCTTATAACATAAACACATACACTTCTTCTACCATCAACAACTCTTGACATCGACCTTAATCATATACATAAAGAAACCCAGATACGAAAAAACCAAAAGAAACACCCCAATTCTCCATATATCTTCACTGATGCATAAACACAAACACTTGATGTGCAGAAAGTAAAGGAAGAAAATAAACAACCTAATACAAGATCCAACGAGCCAAGATTTGCAGAAAATTGATCAGCAAGCCTCCAAGAACTGCAATGAAATCTCCAGTTCTTTAATCTTCAGCGGAAGAGATAGCACCGAGGATCGTCCGAGTGATTGATACCATCTTAACAGCGTTGAATTGATATACCATAAAACTAAGAAAGATGAACAACAAGAAGAATTCAGACAAATTTAGAAAGAAACAATGAAGGCTTTGTATTGATCAATGTAAGTTGTAGACAATGAGCTACCACAGCCTTTTTATACATAACTAATTCTTCTAACTAACTTTCTTACACAGTAAGCTTGCTCGTTACCACTCTAACTAATTATTAATTGTTTTCTTGACGACATGGCATATGATGTGGCATTTTCTCAGTCAACATGAAATCATTTGCCTAGTGTAATTTTCGTTATCTTACTGCAATCGCAGAATACGAGTGATCTTTGTAGGCTTGTAATATTTAACAGACTTATGTCTAATTTTTTAAGAGAATACGACTTATATCAAATTTAGTTGGATACATATTGCACACTAACAGTAAGATCGATAAACTAAAGTTACGAATGACATGTTTTACGAGTTCATGCTTTAATGAAAAAGATCACATGGAATATGCAGCGATTAGAATAAAAAGATAAGGTTAAATTTTTTGAAATATATTATAATATCTAAAATATAATTAAATTGTAAGGAAAACTAATGAAAAAGACTTGAAAAATTTTAGTTTTAATAAAAAAAAACCATGTTATAAGTTTTGTTTAATGATTAGTACAATGCCCATATTAAAGTAGTCAAACTAAAAATGACCCAACTATAATAAATTATGATTTATCGATTTTACCTCTAACTTTTTTAGCTTGATTCCAAATTTTCCTCGTTAATGGAGTTCATCATTGTTTTGCAGACCTTCTTCTTTTTCTTTGAAACAAAAATATAGATCCTCATGTTATTTAATTTATATTTTGTATTATTTCTTTGAAATATGATCATTGTTATTATTCATAGTGTATTCGAGGTATTGTTTTTCAATTTTTCATCGTCAGTGGAATTCATCTTTTGTTTCTCCAGAAAATAAATATGAAATATGCATGCTATTCAATAATAACGACTGGTCACTGTTTCTGGATTTTAAGTAACACTGTTTTTGGAATCTAAGTCACTGTTTCTGGAATCTAAGTTATTGTTTCTGGAATGTAAGCTACAAAAGAAATAGTGAAATTCACTGTATTGGATTCAAAACAAAATAAGCACCATATTTCTTAAATATAATCAATTGATGCATGAAAGAAAAGAAACAATCAAAGGTTAAAACATAGACTGTTTCTAGAATTAAGTCACTATTTCTGGAATTTAATCACTGTTTCTGGAATTTAATCACTGTTTCTGGAATTTAAGTCACTGTTTCTGGATTTTGGTTCTTTTCTTTCCAGATACAATGTTTGTTTGTATACAGACAAAACAAACACTGTATTTGAGTATTTTTTTTTTCTTCTAGAAACAATGTTATGTTTTGGGTTATCCAGAAACAGTTTTATGTTTTGGTTCTTTTTTTTTTCCAGACACTTTTTCACCGGTTTTTGCCATTAAACTTCTTTGAACTTGTTTCGGCTGCTTTGTTTTGATGAATGCTTCATTTTTCAACTTTGATTTGAATTTTGATTTGGTTGTTTTTGAAATTGGGGAATTACCGGGCAATTGGCAGTTAGATGATGAAGATGATCCCCTGCCACTGGGACATGATTCTGCTGCAGGTGACAGTGGGCAATCATCAGGAAAGAAGAAGAAAGCTTCATTTAAAGAGAAGTCAAGTAAGATGGGAAAAGAAAATGGGGAGGTGGGGAAGAAGATCAAATATGAAGAAAATGGCTCAAGGCGAGAGAAGAGCAGGCATGAGGAAAGTGGCTCAAGGAAAGATGAAGGGAAAAAGAAGATGAGGAGGCGGAGACATTCCCAAGATAGTGCCAATAGTTTTGGTCCTTATGGTGGTGCATGGACTCAGTAGAATATTTGTTGGCCCGTGAACAAAAGTTTCGGATGATTTTTTATTATTTTTTATTACACTTTGAGACATTTTGGTTAAATAATATTTTGGAATGGTTTTTTGTTAAATATTTATTAGCTCGAGCCCTTTTCATTAAAGCTCTCTAAATTGTAATGGTTATATAAATGTGACTTTGTTATTAAATTGCATCTAGTAAAAACAAAGAATACATAGCAGTCAGATGCATCTCCTGCTAATAACCATGTACCGATACAAATATTAGTTAATACTATGCTTACAAAGTTCAAAAAAAAATCTCTTTTCCCGTTAAGATTTCTAGACAAAAAGAAACAAGTTTAATGAATTTACTCAATCACCGACTTTGCTGACATGTTTTGGTAATTAGGGTTAGATTTGAAGACAACCATATCTTAAAAAGCCAGGCGAAAGGTAAACCATTTTCCACACTCGCAACATCATGAGACATGTGCACTTTGGGAGGCACTATTCCCAATATCTTAGTAACTTTGCCTTATGCTGAGTTGAAAGAATAAATTAATGTTCTTATTTTCATTCATAAAAGTGATATTAGGGAGGGAGAATCAAGCTTGAAATCTTGAAGGAGGATTCTCTTCCCTCCTAATCTCTCTCCCCTTCCCTTCCTTCTTATTTAAACGGTTACGGTTAAGCCACGTCAACATTTTATAGGTAAGAGAAAGGGAGAGAAGGAGATGAGAATAGGAGGTAAGAGAATCCTACTCCTGAAATCTTAGGTATAGGTTAATCCGTAAGCCCAAGAAAAACATGAAATCTGAATTTCAACATCTTTTGATGACCAAACAAAGAAGGCAATTTTTGTGGTTATTCAAACTGTTCTTTTTTAGCTTGTTGCTTTTGCATCTTTGTTATCCTATATGTCAAGGAAGAGAGAGATCCATTGAAGATAGAGGTTGCAGAAAGAGAGAGTATCGAAGAGAGACGAAGGGAAAACAGAAGATTCAATATTATTTCTTAATGAATAACTCATTACAAAGAAGACTACTTGTGCTAGTACAACACTAGCTTAATTACTGCCTTAACAAACTTCTTATTCTAGTTGCAGGTTTCATAATTTCTTAGCAGATTGAAATGTGTGGTGGCTTGTGATAAAAATATGATCAATAGATAGGATAAGATAAGATGCATCAATGCGGTACCCTATCCTGAACATCCAAATCTGTTACACGTAAGGTGAAATGTTTGTACGCAGTTGTCAATTTGATCATGTTTAAGGACTGGAATGAAATTATGAAATCGAACAGAAAAAAATATTGAACATCGAATTAAATCTTTCGCAACTTGTATTACAACAGAAAGGGGTACAAAATCTGCGTGCAGTCTGAAATTTCTACACACATATATACTCAAAATACATAAGCTTTATACTACATATATATTGATCCATATCAAATATCAATAGTACAAACTCATAGCCAAAACATGAAACATGCCTCTTCCTTTCTATACGATCTCTTTAGAACCAAAATCTCTTTATGCAGTTTTGGTCTGACTGAATCATAAGAAACAATACGATACAGCATCAATCACGGATGCGCAAACCGCAAACAAATCTAGGTGCCAAACTTAAGGAATGAATCTGTAATTACTTCACCAGCTAGATTATCTTCTGCTTCTGTCTACAATCCCAATCAACTCCAGAGAAGATATGTCAGTCATTAAGGAGACTAAAATCTGAATATCTTCGTCGATTACCCAAGCTGTGAGGTAAATTTTTCTCTCCATGCATATCATGAGATCGAGAGAGAGAGAGAGAGAGAGAGAGAGAGATGATATATCTTTCCTTCTCCCCTTGATCTTTTGGGTTGACATGTCTTTTTCATACGCCACACCCCAAACCTCTGGCCTCTGATCCTTTCATGATTCTCAACTTCTTGCAGGATGACATGAACATACTGTAATAACAACAGAAGACTTATGAGTAGAGAGAGAGAGAGAGAGACAGAGACAGAGAAAGAGACAGAGAACTTACTCCCATGGAACATCTCCAACCAGCATCCAATCACCATCTTTGTCCTTATAAGTAGGTGCATATTCTGATCCTTTGTAGCCCTCCCTCTCTGAGTATTGACCTATAGTAAACTTAAACATGACTTCCAAGGCCTTGAGGAGTTCTGGGTAGCATTTGTAAACCTTAAGATCAATCTTTCTGAGGTAAGGTGCTCCATCCATGCTCACTTTCACATAAATCCCGGTAGCAGTCTCACCCTCTGCATTTTTATTTGCTTGGAGGCTGTTCTTCCTATAAGATCTGATTGGTGGCCACCCCACTATTTGTGCCCTGTCATACCAACACATCAAAACTTTTTGAGTACAACAAACAACTCAAATCTATAGGTCATTCTACATATTTCTTACGAGATAAATTCAGTTAAACATGATTAATTAATAAAATGACTTACTTTGCAGGAGGGGTTTCCTTTTGAGCGTTTTTAGCATCAGTGCTTCCTTCTTCATTTTTTGAGTCAGCTGGCAGTCCTCTCTTCTTGTTTTGATTAGGAAGCTCAATAATTTCATCTCTCCCTGGCAACCGTAGTGTCAGCTCTGTTGCCTTGAGGTTGAGATCTTTCTCATGTGCCTTGCTTTCCATTTTTTAACGAAGAATCTTCGACACGAATACTATACCGAATTATTGAACCTCAAGAAACAACACCCAACAATCTGCTCTAGCAAAAACCCAAAAGAACCAAGTTCTTCTTTCTCTTTCTTTTTTTCTTCCCTTTTTTGTTGTGGAGAAGTTAGAAATGTGTTTGCTTTGTGGAGAGGTGGGAATGCAGGGTGTGTTGTATTTTATAGATATGATTAAAGGAAGGACTGGGAGTTGTGGTAATGCCTTAAATTTATTTAATTTTTTATATATTCTCTCTTTAATTTACATGAGTTATGGACAAAGGAAAGCTAGGCTGTCGGTAGCGATAGCAGCACCGTTGAGGCATTTTGCCTCTGCGTTTGGGGGACAAGAGTTGGACAAGCTCAGCCAACCCCTATGCAAAACTGTGGACTCACAAGGACGGTCAAGATGCGTTTTGGGGGACTGTGGAAATGTAATCTACACCTTTAATTGTAAGGGGAGAGTTGAGGAGCATTCCCATGTGAAATGGGATCACATGATGTTTGGTATGAGCATTTGCATCACCATGTGAGATTAAACTTTGGCGCTTTTATTTTTCTAATAAAATTTAAGCTTATGTATTTATATACAAACGATACTCTCCATTTAACTGATATAATTTATGGCGAAGAATTCAAACTATAATGCAGAGAGAAAACACACCCTTCTAATAAATTCGTCTAAATGCGAATTTATTCTAATACAACCTCACCTTGTGTGTGTGTGTTTTTATTTTTATTTTTTTTATACCAAAGAGCGACCGTTTTCGCTACCTAGGATCTATCTTACAAAAAAACGGAGAATTAGATGGAGATCTCAACCATAGAATACAAGCTAGATGGATGAAATGGAAGGGTGCATCCGGCGTGTTGTGTGATCGTCGTATGTCACTGAAGCTCAAGGGAAAATTTTATAGGACGGCAATGCTGTATGGCACAGAATGTTGGGCGGTGAAGCATCAACACGTACACAAAATGGGTGTAGCGGAGATAAGGATGCTTCGTTGGATGTGTGGGCACACGAGAAAGGATAAGATTAGGAATGAGGATATCCGAGGTAAAGTAGGAGTAGCCAAAATTGTAGGAAAGCTGAGAGAAAATCGGTTACAGTGGTTTGGAAATGTGCAAAGAAGGCCTACTGACGCTCCGGTTAGAAGATGCAACTACAGGACATAGGTTCACGACCGAAGGGGTAGAGGAAGACCTAGGAAAACTTTGGAAGAGACTCTAAGAAAAGACTTATAAGTACTTGGATCTAACGGAGGACATGACACAAAACCGAGCACAATGGCGTTCTAAGATTCATATAGCCGACCCCACTCAGTGACTTGGATTTTACAAGTCTCCAACCGAGAAGTTTCCTCACTCGGGAAATTAAGGGAACACTACCTCAACCTACATGCTCCACTCATAAAGCTTCAACATACAAGCTTCAACAAAAGAAAAATTCAAAGAACTTAGTGAAGAAGGCTTTGGTGTATTTAACACAATACGTTGAAATGAAACAAAGCTTATTTATTGATATCTCCGATAAGTTGCAAATATGTACATATACATGAGTCAAAATAAACAAACAAGAGGGAGCCTTCACAAAGGTTGCTTAGGAGAAGTCTCAGCAGTCGGTAGAGCCCCATAAAGAGAAGGCACCGGAGGGGGATCATTCGGAGCCTCAGTACTGGACAGAACCCTAGAAGGAGGAGGCATCAAAGGTTGATCATTTGGAGCTTCATTATGCGGTACAGCCCCAGAAGACGAAGGCAATAAATGCCTTTGGAACAAACCCACAAACCTCTGATGATCATGTAAAATCTGACCATCAGATTCCTTCATCTGGTCAATCTTCATTTTCATGTTTGTAGCATAGTCATATGCGAGCCGGTGCAACTGTTTATTCTCATGCTTGAGCCCTCTAACCTCCTGTTTGAGACTCATCACTTCAGCCGCCAATGATTCAACTTGGCGGGTTCGAGCAAATAGGCGTTGGGCCATATTAGACACAGAAGCTGCACATTGAACACTGAAAGCCAAAGAATCCTTAACAGCCAACTCATCAGACCGTTTGGAAAGTAGTCTGTTATCTTTGGGAGTGAGAAGGTTCCTGGCCACCACCGCAGCGGTCATATCATTCTTCATCACGGAATCCCCAACGGTAAGATGACCAGTAGGGGATAAGAAGGATGGGCGCCATATGTTGTCTAGAGAAGGCGTGGCTGCCTCTTCAACAAGGTTCAAGTCAAAATGACGGTCGGAGGGGCCAGACATTTTCAAAGGTGTTGAAGAGAGAAGAGGTTGGACAAATCAAGATCTTAGAAATGCAAGAAGAGAGCTTATACTGGTGGACATTCAAGTGTGCTTTAGAACTTAATGCTAGCCTCTAAAAATCTGCACTCGACGGAGCTTCAGAAATCGAAGAGGCGCCTGCTCAGAAATCGAAGAGGCGTCTGCTCAGAAATTGAAAAGACGTTTGCTTTCTCAAAAGCTGGGCTGCTCAGAAACCACGAGGGCTGATCTCAAAAATTGAAGAGGCGTTTGCTTTCTCAAAAGCTGGGTTGCTCAAAGACCACGAAGGCCGATCGCAGAAATCGAAGAGGCGCTAGCTTTCTCAAAAACTGGGCTGCTCAGAAACCACGAAGGCTGATCTCAGAAATCGAAGAGGCACCTACTTTTTCAGCCTTGTCAGCACATGTCACATGCACACTCAACTTTGCGGAAATTATGGGCATTCTGTCGAAGATTTCTGGTGAAGTAGAAAGCACGTGAATGTTACTGTTTAATCATCCACTTTCCACACGCAACATCAGCTCACGGGTACCATAAATAACTTTGCCAAAGATCTCTGACAAAGTTTAGAGACGTGAAGCTTGCAGCTCCCATTACATCGCTATGACCAAGAAGGGTAAAAGAATAGCAAAGAAACAGCACTAACAAAGTTTAGACACATAAATTTTGAAGGTCTAGCTACCATATTATTACCCACAAGGGTAAAGGAACAAGACCACTGCTGGATAATTGGAAAGTCCCTGTGTGTCAGCCTCTGTGCTCCGTGGCAAGGTAAACTAGCAACCAGGCCCAACCTTTACTCACATTCGAGAAAATACTCTTAACAAGATTGCTTGCTTCAAGATCGAAGAGATACCGCCCTCCGAATCTCGAGAGCCAGACTCCCAACATGATTACTTTCTCAAAAATCGAAGAGACACCGCTCTCTAAATCTCGAGAGCCAGACTCCTAGCAGGATTGCTTTCTCAAAAATCGAAGAGGCACTGTTCTCCGAATCTCGAGAGACAGATCCCCGACAGGATTGCTTGTTCGAACCGAAGAGGCACCGCTTTCTCAACTTCGAGAGCCATATCTCCTTGGATAAAGCTTGTCTGTAATCTTCACATTGTTTTCTCAACTTCAAGAGCCAGATCTCCTTGGATAAAGCTTGTCTGTAATCTTCACACGCAACATCAGCTTTCCAGATATCACAGACCACTTTTTCAAAGTGCTCTGACAGAGTTAAAACACGTGAAGCTGGCAGCTCCCACTACCGTGCTATGACCAAGCAGGGTAAAGGAATAGTATTACTACTTGTTGTTAGGGAGACTCCTATATATGTCGACCTCCATCCTCAACGGACAGGCAGACTTGTAAAAATGCTCAACCCTTCCTCATATCTGAGAGGGCACTCCCAACGAAGCCTCTCGAAATACTCAGCTTTCTTTCCCCCCGAGAATACCTCTGCAAACAAGCTACACCATGGCAAGAATATCTCATATCATCAGGGTTAAAAGCAAGAGTATCCCATATCATGCTTTTTCCCTATCTTTTCCTTTGGCCTTGTTCTTACCTGCAAGACAAGGAGAAAGAGAGCAATCAGTCAGCACTTGGAATCAAGCTTCCAATCAGGAACTGACTGCTTGGAACCCCTTACCTGATTACTTACCTAGCAAGAATAAGCCTGTGAAAAGTTACTTCTTCAAAAACAAAAGTATCTCATATCACCTATTCTCCTTTTCTTCTCTTTATCCTTCATGCTGTCTGCAAGATAAGGAGAATGAGAACAATCAGCCGGAACTCGAAATCAAACTTCTGATCTGGGACCGATTGCTTGGAGCTCTGGTTGCTTACCTTGTCTGTCACCTCTTCAGCAGATTCCCTAGCTCGGCGACTTAGGGGACTCCTACTACATGGTTTGTATCGCGCTTGACCAAGCCTGAAACTACAAGTAAGCTTCAAGTGAAATTGATACATTACTTTGTGCATCTCCACCAGTTAAAGATACCACCCCTGGATGGAGGAACAGTACTTCCAGAGAATATGCCACATCTACCTATGAGACAGATAAGGCAAGTGAAGACGATACCACACTTCAGTACTTAGAAGTTTCGTGATTACGAGATCATTCTTCCACAATATTTCCTAATGTCATTTGTACTAAATCATTCACTGGTACTCACTAAAGAAGAGCTTGAACCTATGTACTGTGTAAACCCTTCACAATTAATGAGAACTCCTCTACTCCGTGGACGTAGTCAATCTGGGTGAACCACGTACATCTTGTGTTTGCTTTCCTGTTTCTATCCATTTACATACTTATCCACACTAATGACCGAAGCAATCTAGCGAAGATCACAAACTTAATACTTTATGTTGTACCAAAGTCCTCACTGCTTTTGTGCATCAACATTCCGTAAGTCCTTACCTTTTTGCGTTGGTAATGGATGAGTTAATAGGACATATTTAAGATGATATTCCTTGGTGTATGCTTTTCGCAAACAATATAGTGTTGATAGATGAAACTCAGGAAGGGGTAAATGCGAAGCTTAACCTTTGGAGAGAAGTGTTGGAATCTAAAGGTCTTCGCCTAAGTCGATCAAAGACAGAATATATGGAGTGCAAGTTCAATGCAAACAGAGGCCAAAATGAGTTATGGGTGAGGATCGGAGATCAGAAAATACGAAAGAGCGACCGTTTTCGCTACCTAGGATCTATCTTGCAAAAGAACGGAGAATTTGATGGAGATCTCAACCATAGAATACAAGCTGGATGGATGAAGTAGAAGAGTGCATCTGGCGTGTTGTGTGACTGTCGTAGGCCACTGAAGCTCAAGGGAAAATTTTATAGGACGGCAATAAGGCCGGCGATGCTGTATGGCACAGAATGTTGGGCGGTGAAGCATCAACACGTAGTTGTGGCGGAGATGAGGATGCTTCGTTG